TATGCCTCCAGTAAGAAGATATATTGATTTAACTGCTGGGTGCCAAACCTCATTTCACCTTTCATCTTTGGAGACATATAAATTCATTTAGAAACAAATTATCCAAAAACTGGGACACGGTATTGTAGAAAATACTCCCTTTAATCACATATATCAAAGTCAAGCCAAAGGGGGTACCCATAAAGTTTATATTTTCATTTTTTCCTAACAAATCTCATGAAAAATTGTTCTGAGAAATGACCTAAAAACGGAATTCCCCCCTTGGAACCCCTATAAATGTAACATAAATACAAATATTCCACTGGGAACACCCCAGGTGTGTTCTGACACCATTACTTTATCAATAGAACCACACACTTTGTCTCTTTGATGCTCTAATGCTGTAAATTTTGCATTATGTGTGGCACTGTGCAACATTAACTTGGCATTTGGCGGGAGTTTGACGTCACAGATTTGACCAATATCTGTGATGTAGTAATTAAATATAGACAAAGCTCCGCCTCTGACCAGACAGTCTAAGATAAGAGAATAACAGGATTGACCAGCTGCATATAATCAATATTTAACATCATTATTCTCACTATAAAGAATACTTTTCATTTGTATTTTAAAAAGAAATATACTATTAATGAAATTAGCTAGAACATTAAAATTGTGCATCAAAAGACATGTTCATAAAAAGATCCAAGACCATCCACTTCTTTAAAAAAAGACACTCCCACATGATTTTTGAGATTTATGGAATTGAAAAAGTTCACATAAACTTAAAATTGGTTAAAATGCCTAAAACTGTATTTAAATGTAGAAGACCAAATAGAAGAAAATTATACAGGCAGTCAGAGGCTTTCAAAGATACTTTCACACTCTTTTCCATATTTATTTTTCATTTTTTGTAGTTTTCTTCCCTTTAGATTTTTTCCTATTCATATCTTTTTCTTTTTCTCTGTTTATAAACATGTTATATAAATTACTTTTGTTGCAATACAATGAGATAAGACCATAATATTTATCTTGTGGTCAGGGATTAACAGCTGGACACTGGTATCAACAGATGATTGACATATTAGCCCCTCCCAAATGCCTATATATTTAGATTAATTACCATGTGCTTTTATTTACATAAGTTCATTATCAATTTACTCCCTGTTGTGATATGATAATGACTTTGGGATTTTTACAAACTGTGCAGAACAATACTTCATTCAAAATTATGTGATAAAAAAAATATCATCAAAAAATCATTGTTAGACTGTAGTGCTACCTTAATCTGTATTATGTAGTAATAAGCATTGTGTATAAGTTTCATAACATTTGGTTGAAGCAAACTAAAGTTAGAAAACGGAAACAAAAAATTTGTACTTGATCTTAGTTTTGTGGTAATGAATATTGTGTATAGGTTTCATAATGTTTCGTTGGGGCAAACTTAAGTTACAGAATGGAAGCTAAAAATTTTGCAATCTTTCGATTTAAAAAGGGGCATAACTCAATAATGGTTAAAGTGACACTACCCAAATTCAACTTGATCTGTGTTTTATCAGTGGAAGTCAAAATTAAACATTGCATTGTATAAAGCATTGATTGTAGTTGATTCAACTATAATCATGGACAAACGAAGATAACTATAATTTAAATAAAATGCTCCGCAGGGCGCAGCTTGATACGACCGCAGAGGTCGAACCCTGAACAGTTGGGGCAAGTATGGACACAACATTCAAGCTTGATACAGCTTTGCATTTGGATTGTGATTAAATATTTGACACAGCATAGGTTTCTGACACAGAATGAATGTGGTCTAAGAACTTAAAAATTTTAAATTGGACATTCACCTATTATGGTCCAATATCCAAAATATAAATACATGTTTAGATTCAGCATATCCAATTTGAAAACGGAACCAAAAATTAAGAATCTAAATACATGGTTAGATTTGGCATATCAAAGAACCCCAATAATTCAATTTCTGATGAAATCAAACAAAGTTTAATTTTGGACCCTTTGGACCTCAATGTGGACCAATTTAAAAACGGGGCCCAAAATCCAAAAACTAAATACACGGTTAGATTCAGCATATTAAAGAAACCCAAGAATTCAAGAATAAAACCCCATTAAAATTGGTCAAGAAATAAGCAATTTATACGAAGTATCTTCTTTTGCACAATACTGTGCAATTAAATATTTCTTGCTATTGCGCAATACTGTACAATTGACAATTTCTTGCTATTGCGCAATATTGTGCTATTGGATATTTTTTGCTATTGCGCAATACTGTGCAATTGAAGATTTCTTGCTATTGCGCAATACTGTGCAATTGAAGATTTCTTGCTATTGTGCAATACTGCGCAATTGAAAATTTCTTGCTATTGCACAATACTTATTATATAATAATTTACACATCCTGTTTGGTGTGTATCTCCTACCATATCATTATTATTTGCTTTTAAATATAAATCAGAAATAACCAACTTAAAATGGAAAATTTTAAAAGAAAAAAAAAAAGGAAAAAAAAAAAATCACCCCCCCCCCCCCCAAATTTTTTGAACCCCCTTATGATTCATCACCCCCAAACTCAATCCCAGCCTTCCCTTTGTGGAATGGTACCTTGCAGTAAAATTTCAGAGAGATCCATACACTTGAACACAAGTTATTGTCTGGAAACTAGAAAAATGCTTATTTTTGGCCCCTTTTTGGCCCCCAATTCCTAAACGTTTCGGCAATTACCCCCAAACTCAATTCCAGCTTTCCCTTTGTGATATGGAACCTTGTAGTACAATTTCAGAAAGATCCATACACTTACACACAAGTTATTGTTATGAAACTAGAAAAATGCTTGTTTTTTGCCCCTTTTTTGGCCCCTAATTCCTAAAATTTTGAGGCAATTACCCCCAAAATCAATCCCAGCATTCCTTTTGTGATATGGAAACTTGTGGTACAATGTCAGAGAGATCCATACACTAACACACAAATTATGTCTGGAAGTTACAAAAATGCTTATTTCTGGCCCCTTTTTGGCCCCTAATTCCTTTACTGTTGATACCATAACCCCCAAAATCAATCCCAACCTTCCTTTTGTGGTATTGAACCTTGTGGTAAAATTTCATAGAGATCTATTCACTTAAACTAAAGTTAGAGTGCGAAAACCAATGTGTCTTCGGACGACGCCGGACGACGCCAGACGACGACGACGACGACGCCAACGTCATACCAATATACAACCACAAAAATTTTTTTGCGGTCGTATAAAAATTACTTGATATTTCAAAGAAAATAAAAAATTTGCAATTTTTCCATTTATAAAGGGGCATAACTCTAGAAAGTTTAAAGTGAGGCCACCTTAAAATTCAAACTTGATCTGTGTTTTGTGTTAATGACCATTATGTATAAGTTTCATAACATTTGGTTGAGGCAAACTTAAGTTGGAGAACGAAAACTAAAAATTTTGCAATTTTTCCATTTATAAAGGGTCATAACTCTAGAACGGTTAAAGTGACGCCACCAAAAGTCAAACTTGATCTGTGTTTTGTGGTAATAAGCATTGTGTATAAGTTTCATAACATTTGGTTGAGGCAAACTCAAGTTAGAGAAGGGAAACCAATTTTCGGACGTACGTACGTACGTACAGACGGACAAGGGTAAAACTTAATGCCCCCACCGTTACGGCGGGGGCATAGAAAAAATTTCTATCCCCCTTTTTTATTTCTAAAATCTGAAATTAGAAAAAATTGTCCCCCTCCGACAATTTCTTTCCCCCCCCCCCCCCCTTTTTTTTCACCTCCCCCACCCTTTTTCCAAACAAAAAATTTTTTCACTCAAGATATGGTTATAATCTCAATTCAAATTTCCATTGGAGTTTGCAACCACAATTACCAATTTAAATACATCATAATAGTCTTAAAATAGAAAATGACCTACATAACCATGGCTAAAATCAATATTCCTTAATCATCATAAATTTAATAGTAACTTCTTAAAGTAAATTGACAGCTAATCACCTCAAGACAATACAACATTCTTTTATACATAATTTTGTTTGTGTTTGGATTACCTCCCTTACACTGCTTTTAAATTGTCTTAATTGTACATTAACCAGGAAACCCTTGTTTTTCCCCCTTTGTTGCCCCTAATTCCTAAACGGTTTGAGCCATAACCCCCCAAAGCCAATCCTAACCATCCCTTTGTGGTATAGAAACTTGTGTATAATTTCAGAGAGATCCATACACTTAAACACAAGTTATTGTCTGGAAACTAAATAGATGCTTATTTGGGCCTCTTTTTGGCCTCTAATTCCTAAACTGTTAGGACCATAACCCCCAAAATCAATCCCAACTTTCCTTTTGTAGTTATAAACCTTGTGTATAAATTTCATAGATTTCTATTTACTTACACTAAAGTTATTGTCCGGAAACCAAGTGTCTTCGGACGATGACGACGACGACAAGATACCAATATACGACCGCAAAAATATTTTGCGGTCGTATAAAAAGAAGCATTCAATTCTTATAATTACTTTTAAATTGCATGATAAAATCAGTAAATTACAAGTTAAATCAAGCTTGTTGTTTGTTTTTGTGGTAAATATTCCATAGTATTGTTGTAATGTTATCCTATAGAGCATGTGCAGTCAGGATGTTGTGTGTTATTGAGGCATTAAAACCTACTTTAAAATACTATGTGAGTGCTTTCTTTCAATTGAAGCGGTAGAATCATTATGAAACATCTATGTAATGTAATTATTTCATAATCAAAAGGAAATACAGAAATAAATTAGCTTGATATTAAGTATTTCAATTTTTATTTTATCTGCTGTTCTCCTGTTTGTTGTTAATACTTGGTAAACATATAATTACTTTTTTCACCTTTCTTCCACTCCTCCGTTATTTTCCCCAACCTCATTTCTCACTTCTCTTTCTCCAGGTTTTCAAATACCCTGTCTGACCTTCATTGGTAAAACCACAGCTATATTAAATTTCTATAGTAACAACTAAATTCTCCAAAAAACATACCTGCCACAAGCTATCTGTGTAACAACTGTCCCCATCATATCCATAATTCTTCGAGGAAGGATCTCGTTGTTTGTATTATTATGCCCTAACTGACCATGACTACCACAACCAAAGGTAAATACTCCTCCATCCTGTAACAAAGAAAGGTATGAACTGAATTAGTTTTACAGACTCCCCCAGTAGTTTCAGAGGAGAAGATTTTTGTAAAAAAAACGACGACGGACTACAATGGACAACGACAGACACCAAGTGTTGATAAAAGCTCACTTGGCCCTTTGGGCCATGTGAGCTAAAAAGGAGTGAATTCTGAATTTTCATAAAAAATATGTATGATCTTGCACCCCTTTTTTTTAAAAAAAAGAAATTTTTAATGGTACTTTTATATATAGTTCTCTAATTTTGAATTTTTTAATTTGAAAGAATTAATGAAATTCCTCTGCATTATTTTATACAGAGAACATTTAGATACTTATGAGTGTTGTTGTCTTTTGTGGCGACATATCAGAATTGATTGTTGGTATTTTATTCTTTCTTTAAAGGATAGCCATTTTAAAGAAGAAAACATAAAATTAGATGGAACAGAAACCGTTTTTGAAGTTTTATGATTCTATCGGAATCTTTTTGTAATAAATTTCCCCAAACTGAACTACAATAGTCTATATATGGTAGAATATATGCATTATAAAATAGTTGTCTTATGTGTATAGGCAAATATTCATTAAGTTTATACAAAAGTGATATTTTATATGAGATAATCTTACATATATGATCAACATGTTCTTCCCAGCTTAAATTTTCATCAATGTCAATTCCAAGTAATTTGAAAGAATGGACATTCTCAGTACAGGTTTAGTTGATGGTAATACATAATTCTGATAGTTTTTGTTTTGAACTCAATTCATTCATTGAAGACCCATTGGTGGCCTTCGGCTGTTGTCTGCTCTATGGTCGGGTTGTTGTCTCTTTGACACATTCCCCATTTCCATTCTCAATTTTACTTTCTTTTTTGTGCATAAATTTTCATACTGTTATTGTTACAACAGGATTGTACAGCATTTAAATCATTTTGCAATATGCTGTTAATTTTTTCAATTTTCTTATCATGAAAATGCAATGTTGAATCATCAGCATATAAATCCATGTTGGATTGTTTAACATGAAGTGGTAAATCATTGATATAAATTAATAAAATGCTTCGCTGGGCGCAGCTTGATACGACCGCAGAGGTCGAACCCTGAACAGTTGGGGCAAGTATGGACACAACATTCAAGCTTGATACAGCTCTGAATTTGGATTGTGGTTAAAGATTTGACACAGCATAGGTTTCTGACACAGAAAGAATGTGGTCTAAGAACTTGATTTTTTTTAATTTACCTATTATGGTCCAATGTCCAAAATCAAAATACATGGTTAGATTCAGCATATCAAAGAACCCCATATATTCAATTTTTGTTGAAATCAAACAAAGTTTAATTTTGGACCCCAACATGGACAAACTTGAAAACTGGGCCCATAATCAAAAATCTAAACACATGTTTAGATTCAGCATATCAAAGAACCCCAAGAATTCAATTTTTGTTAAAATCAAACTAAGTTTAATTATGGACACTTTGGACCTTAATGTAGACTAATTTAAAAAACAGGAACCAAAATTAAAAATCTAAATACACGGTTAAATTTGGCATGTCAAAGAACCCCAATAATTCAATTTTTGATGAAATCAAACAAAGTTTAATTTTGGACCCTTTTGACCTCAATATGAAACAATTTGATAGTGGGGTCCACAAATAAAAAATCTAAATACATGGTTAGATTCAGCATATCAAAGAACCCCATATATTCAATTTTTGTTGAAATCAAAAAAAGTTTACTTTTGGACCCCAACTTGGACCAACTTGAAAACTGGGCCCATAATCAAAAATCTAAACACATGTTTAGATTCAGCATATCAAAGAACCCCAAGAATTCAATTTTTGTTAAAATCAAACTAAGTTTAATTTTGGACCCTTTGGACCTTAATGTAGACCAATTTAAAAAACGGGACCCAAAATTAAAAATCTAAAAACACGGTTAGATTTGGCATATCAAAGAACCCCAATAATTCATTTTTTGATGAAATCAAACAAAGTTTAATTTTGGACCCTTTTGACCTCAATATGAACCAATTTGAAAGCGGGCCCACAAATAAAAAATCTAAATACATGGTTAGATTCAGCATATCAAAGAATCCCATATATTCAATTTTTGTTGAAATCAAACAAAGTTTAATTTTGGACCCTAACTTGGACCAACTTGAAAACTGGGCCCATAATCAAAAATCTAAACACATGTTTAGATTCAGCATATCAAAGAACCCCAAGAATTCAATTTTTGTTAAAATCAAACTAAGTTTAATTATGGACACTTTGGACCTTAATGTAGACTAATTTAAAAAACAGGAACCAAAATTAAAAATCTAAATACACGGTTAAATTTGGCATGTCAAAGAACCCCAATAATTCAGTTTTTGATGAAATCAAACAAAGTTTAATTTTGGACCCTTTTGACCTCAATATGAACCAATTTGATAGCGGGGTCCACAAATAAAAAATCTAAATACATGGTTAGATTCAGCATATCAAAGAACCCCATATATTCATTTTTTGTTGAAATCAAACAAAGTTTAATTTTGGACCCTAACTTGGACCAACTTGAAAACTGGGACCATAATCAAAAATCTAAACACATGTTTAGATTCAGCATATCAAAGAACCCCAAGAATTCAATTTTTGTTAAAATCAAACTAAGTTTAATTTTGGACCTTTTGGAACTTAGTGTAGACCAATTTAAAAAACGGGACCCAAAATTAAAAATCTAAAAACACAGTAGATTTGGCATATCAAAGAACCCCAATAATTCATTTTTTGATGAAATCAAACAAAGTTTAATTTTGGACCCTAACTTGGACCAACTTGAAAACTGGGCCCATAATCAAAAATCTAAACACATGTTTAGATTCAGCATATCAAAGAACCCCAAGAATTCAATTTTTGTTAAAATCAAACTAAGTTTAATTATGGACACTTTGGACCTTAATGTAGACTAATTTAAAAAACAGGAACCAAAATTAAAAATCTAAATACACGGTTAAATTTGGCATGTCAAAGAACCCCAATAATTCAATTTTTGATGAAATCAAACAAAGTTTAATTTTGGACCCTTTTGACCTCAATATGAAACAATTTGATAGTGGGGTCCACAAATAAAAAATCTAAATACATGGTTAGATTCAGCATATCAAAGAACCCCATATATTCAATTTTTGTTGAAATCAAAAAAAGTTTACTTTTGGACCCCAACTTGGACCAACTTGAAAACTGGGCCCATAATCAAAAATCTAAACACATGTTTAGATTCAGCATATCAAAGAACCCCAAGAATTCAATTTTTGTTAAAATCAAACTAAGTTTAATTTTGGACCCTTTGGACCTTAATGTAGACCAATTTAAAAAACGGGACCCAAAATTAAAAATCTAAAAACACGGTTAGATTTGGCATATCAAAGAACCCCAATAATTCATTTTTTGATGAAATCAAACAAAGTTTAATTTTGGACCCTTTTGACCTCAATATGAACCAATTTGAAAGCGGGCCCACAAATAAAAAATCTAAATACATGGTTAGATTCAGCATATCAAAGAATCCCATATATTCAATTTTTGTTGAAATCAAACAAAGTTTAATTTTGGACCCTAACTTGGACCAACTTGAAAACTGGGCCCATAATCAAAAATCTAAACACATGTTTAGATTCAGCATATCAAAGAACCCCAAGAATTCAATTTTTGTTAAAATCAAACTAAGTTTAATTATGGACACTTTGGACCTTAATGTAGACTAATTTAAAAAACAGGAACCAAAATTAAAAATCTAAATACACGGTTAAATTTGGCATGTCAAAGAACCCCAATAATTCAGTTTTTGATGAAATCAAACAAAGTTTAATTTTGGACCCTTTTGACCTCAATATGAACCAATTTGATAGCGGGGTCCACAAATAAAAAATCTAAATACATGGTTAGATTCAGCATATCAAAGAACCCCATATATTCATTTTTTGTTGAAATCAAACAAAGTTTAATTTTGGACCCTAACTTGGACCAACTTGAAAACTGGGACCATAATCAAAAATCTAAACACATGTTTAGATTCAGCATATCAAAGAACCCCAAGAATTCAATTTTTGTTAAAATCAAACTAAGTTTAATTTTGGACCTTTTGGAACTTAGTGTAGACCAATTTAAAAAACGGGACCCAAAATTAAAAATCTAAAAACACAGTAGATTTGGCATATCAAAGAACCCCAATAATTCATTTTTTGATGAAATCAAACAAAGTTTAATTTTGGACCCTAACTTGGACCAACTTGAAAACTGGGCCCATAATCAAAAATCTAAACACATGTTTAGATTCAGCATATCAAAGAACCCCAAGAATTCAATTTTTGTTAAAATCAAACTAAGTTTAATTATGGACACTTTGGACCTTAATGTAGACTAATTTAAATAAAATGCTTCGCTGGGGCGCAGCTTGATACGACCACAGAGGTCGAACCCTGAACAGTTGGGGCAAGTATGGACACAACATTCAAGCTTGATACAGCTCTGAATTTGGATTGTTATTAAATATTTGACACAGCATAGGTTTCTGACACAGAAAGAATGTGGTCTAAGAACTTGAATTTTTTTAATTTACCTATTATGGTCCAATGTCCAAAATCAAAATACATGTTTAGATTCAGCATATCAAAGAACCCCATATATTCAATTTTTGTTAAAATCAAACAAAGTTTAATTTTGGACCCCAACTTGGACAAACTTGAAAACTGGGCCCATAATCAAAAATCTAAACACATGTTTAGATTCAGCATATCAAAGAACCCCAAGAATTCAATTTTTGCTAAAATCAAACTAAGTTTAATTTTGGACCCTTTGGACCTTAATGTAGACCAATTTAAAAAACGGGACTTAAAATTAAAAATCTAAATACACGGTTAGATTTGGAATATCAAAGAACCCCAATAATTCAATTTTTGATGAAATCAAACAAAGTTTAATTTTGGACCCTTTTGACCTCAATATGAACCAATTTG